ACACACACACACACACACACACACACACACACACACACACACACACACACACACACACACACACACACACACACACACACACACACACACACACACACACACACACACACACACACACACACATATATATATATATCTATATATATATATCATACAGACCTTTGCAGATTTTGTGCTTCTCTGCCATATTGGTATATGCCTATGTATTGCTAGCCCAATTGTATGTGTGTGGACGTTTGTGTGTATAATTGATTCTATATTGCGCTTGCATATGTATTTTGCGAATCTCTGTATTTTCTTTGCTGTCGTCTGAACAAATTTCTTCCACAGTGTCTATGCGCGTGTCTCTGCATGTATCTGTATTGAACAGCATAACTCCCAACCAATAGAACGACACATTTCAGTTCAAATCGTACTATGTAGTACCTACAGAAATTCACATCGTTTCTCTAATAAAGCTTGCTATCGCTGGGCTATGTTTGGTTTTCCCACACTTGCAGGGTGAAAAATACCTGCCTTCCCTCCATTAATACTACTACTACACACGCATACACACACACATATGTATATAACAGCCATGTGTATACTGACATAACCAAGCGTCCATTCATTTTTTATCAACGCTTGTGTATTTCGGCTCGCAATTTGATCTCTACAAGACGTTCCAGCCATGTGCATAGTGAATAAGCTAAGCTTCAATGAACTTTTATTAACGTTTATTTATCTCGGCTCGCACTTTATCGATTTAATGCCTTACTTAAGTTACAACCATGTCCATAGTGAATAAACCGAGCAGTCAGGCACTTTCAAGTTTACGTTTTTATATATCTGACCCTATCTCAATTTGATATGGACAGGACATTACAATTCGAACCTTTTCGATGGGATCAACGTTTATTCTCACTATCACTGCGGCTGCCGGCGCTTCAGAACGGAACTCTGCCCGAGTAAGTTTTGGCGGGGGTTTGGGCTGTTCTGTATATAGTACTTGACTGGTTTTAGCGGGTCTTTCTCCTGGCACGTGGAGATATAGAAACTAATTGGCTGAGAGTTGTAAACGCTTTCACTATGAGTTTAGTTCTGTGCCACTTAGACAGTGAAGATGTATTGATACGAGTGCATTATGATCCTCTGTTGTCTATAATTAGTTTGTGTTAATCTTTTTATTCCACTCATTATTGGAAATCGTACTACTTATATTATTACTCATCCCTCCACTATCACAGTGATCTCACCAATGAAACCGCAATTGGATTTTCGACAAATCGGGACGATATGGTGCCAGCGATGGAACTCTACTGCAAAGTGACGGGCGGTGAGTGAATCACTTTACATGCGGTGTGTGCGCATTACACGAAATGTTTATTTAAATGCAAGTCATAGTAGATGTAAAAACAAGCACGTACTCACATACATACGTGCACGCATGTACTCTCTATATATATATGTATATATATATATATTATCAACTTATGGGTATGGGTGCTGTATCTATTCAGTATATGCAGAACCACGGGATCACATACGTACATGTGCATATATAATTGTACAGACAAACGCCCCCAATTGTACATAACAGGAATAATATTATCACACTCCTACAGGTACGAATATCTCATACATAATCGCTATTACATGCAAACGTTTCTGTGTATACATATCTGAACATGGCCCTATATTCTTTACCTGCGAGTTCCTGGATATAGTCCAGCTGATACCGAACTACGGTGTATAGTATAGTCCCATGCTTTTCTTTTTTTGGGGGGGGCTCATATACTATCATCTGAGTGGAGTAGTCTCCATTCGGCAAAAGTCAGTGATGTGTGGGTGCAATTGAATATCCTCAAGGCCTATTAGTTGTCATTATTACGCGTTGGTTGATGGTTCTGTGGACTCAGTTAGCAGTATTTGTATCTGTGGGTAGTTATGGCCAGTCAGTGTTAGTCCGATTGTTACCTTCACCAACAATACTTCATTTGTATGGTAGCCATTGTTGGGACTCAAAATGCTGACCTTTATATTAATTCTGACATCACTGCCACTGACAAACTTCTCGTCCTGCGCGGCCTGTTCTTGCTAAGTAACTAAACCATCTACACAGTCATTTTTAGAGATCCTAATTTGAATACAGACAAACACACCTCAACACACCCAAGTACGCTATCCCACACATTCAATTCACATACATGTCCCATTCTCTGTGCTGCTGTGTGCCCATTGTATCGGACAGGTCAATCGGAAATCAGTCGCACGTACTCTAGTGCAACCAATTTCGCCGATGTGATTGTAGGCGCAGTCAAAACTCGGTCCGTTACTATCTCGTTACAACCAACGAATGACATACATGGTAAGTATATATACATATATGGTAAGTATATATATGCGTGGCAAGTATATATATAG